GAGCCGATGGTTCGGCTTTAGCCGCCGAAGCCGTACAGAGTGCGGCCCTGGCGCTTGAGGGCGTAGACCACGTCCATGGCGGTGACCGTCTTCCTCTTGGCGTGCTCCGTGTAGGTGACGGCGTCGCGGATCACGTTCTCCAGGAACACCTTGAGCACGCCGCGCGTCTCCTCGTAGATGAGCCCCGAGATGCGCTTGACGCCGCCGCGCCGAGCCAGGCGGCGGATGGCCGGCTTGGTGATGCCCTGGATGTTGTCGCGCAGCACCTTGCGGTGCCGCTTGGCGCCTCCCTTGCCGAGCCCCTTGCCGCCCTTGCCTCGACCGGACATGATGGAGCCGCTGCTGCTGATGCCGCTGTGAAGCAGCGCCGCCCCCGCCGCCGCCTTTATGCGCTGTGGTCGGACCTGGTTGAGAACTGCACAGCGGAGTTGGGGGGGGGGGTTTTCCCGCCATTTTCCCTGCGCGCGTCACCGGTGGTGGAACCTCGTTCGCCGCTCCCTCCAGGGTGCTGCAAAGTCCGGCGAGTAAAACAGAATAAACCTCCCCCGCGCAAAACATGCCAGCGATGTTCCTGTTATACAGTTGGAAACCTTTCCCAGCCCTCCCCTCAGATTTGTATAAACCCTTCGCGTTTTTGCGCCTATTTTGTTGTATTGGCAGGGGTTGGTGTGAATGTTTTCAAATTCCCACAATTTTCATTCTGATGCTCGTTAATAGTTTCGGTTAATTTGTATTCAAAGCGATATAAATGCTGTTTCAGAATTTTTAATGATTTCAGGTCTCTTAAAAACTCTAAATAAGATTTCACCAAATTTAATTTTGTTGGTTTCTTTATTTTGATTTCTACCTCCCATTTCCTAACTATTCCAATTTCACATTAGCAACTTTTTGTCTGTAAATGCATATTGACCAGAAGGTGGAATATAATCTTCTTTATATTATTAAAGTTATATTGGTTTGTGACTTCTGCTAATTTTGCTCACTTTGAGTTACTGCAGTGGGGTAATTTTAGAGGTTTTTTTACAAAATTACCTTTATTATAACTACACACTGAAATTTCTGCTCCTTGATTAGGAAAAAGAAATCACTCTGCTTTTCACTATAGATTAAGCTTTTAAATTCTCCTCTCCTCTCCTCTCCTCTCCTCTCCTCTCCTCTCCTCCAGTTCTGGAAACAAAAGATATTTGAATTATCTGTTGTGAAAGTCAGTAGTGGTCTTTGTTTTAGGATGTTCCAAATGTCATCATGTGAAAACATCCTGAACTCATACAACTGAAATCTTATGGGTAAAAAAAAATTATTTTTCTCTTGTCCTTTTATGTCTGAAGGGCAAACATAATTTCTACGTACTTTCTATGTACTTTTAACACTTTTAAAGTGTTAAAGTTTAAAAAAATCATTCATTATATGCTACTAGTACCTCAGGGTTTGAATTTGTGTCAACATTAATAAAAAATAATATTGCCAGACATTGTATTTTAAGAACATATATGAATAAAATTCTGGAAATACATTTGTACTTTCAAACTAATGGTTTTGAAT